CACAAGGGAACGGCAAGGCCGAGCGAACGGTGCAAACTCTGACACGAGCCCTGCAGATGTACGTCGCGGACGTCAACCAACAAGATTGGGACGACTATGTAGAGCGGCTGACCTTTGCGTTGAACACGGCACATGATCGAGTGAGAGGGGAAACGTCGTTTTTCTTAGTCCACGGATGGGACCCGCGGGCGACACTTGAAGCAGTTGTTTCGGTGGTATCGACGCGCCGCCGCGATTGCGATGCACGGAGATGGAGGTACCACATACAGGGTCAATACCGCAGAGCCAGGAAAGCCGTCAACGAGAGCCTACGTGATGCGATCAAGTCTAGGGCTGACCAGCACAACGAGAACGTTAGACCACATCGGATTGAGGAAGGCACACAGGTATGGCTTTACCTGGATCGCGTCAAGGAAGGCTACGCTCGCAAGCTCGCACACATGTGGCATTGTCCGTTCCGCGTCACAGAGCTGATCGGCAATCAGGCAGCTCGTCTCGAGACTGCAGGCTCAGGGTACCGGATCTTCCCGATAGTACATCTGTCGAAGATGAAGCCCGTGCGAACATTCCCTGATCGGCCAAAGGTTGTGTTGAACACCGAAGACGACGATCGAGTAGACTTCGACGAAGAACTGCTGCCTGACGATAGCTGGGACACTCCGTTGGACGAAGATGAATTCGAGGTGGAACAGATCGCGGACGTACGGTCAGGAAGACGCACCCGATATGGGCGGGTGCACCGAGAATTCCAGGTCTATTGGAAGGGCTATGACCAGCCGACATGGGTGGATGAAGCCGACCTCAATTGCGCCGCCCTGTTGTACGAGTATGAGCGCGGACACACCAGCCGCAACCGCTTCAACGTGATGCAGTCACACGAGGAAGGGGTAAACATTGAGTAAGTCACCGACGGGCGGAGATAGTGTGTGGGGAAGTCACACACTTGGTGGATAGATATTTGTACGATGCGTGAAGACACCTGGCAACGGCCGGGACAAGAGAAGGGAACATAGAAAGTTAGAAGGGAAGCCCAAGTGATGGATGGCCTTACGTACCCAGATGGATGAATCAAGATCGATGATCGAAACTGGAGGATCAAGATCGATGATCGAAACTGGATGATCGAGATCGATGATCAAAACGGAGGATCGAGTTCGATGATCGAAGCTGATGATCGGGATCGATGATCGAAACGGAATGATCAAGATCGATGATCGAAGAACTGGAAAACAGAATCCAGACATGGGGGCGAAGATTTGAGGCAGAGAGCCGACAACTGTGCGAAAAGTGTGGCCACTGTCGTGTAAGACGATGCGCAGTAAAAGTGTCGAGAGCGAGAAACCGGGAAGGAAGTAAGACTTCACCGATGCGATCAACCAGGCGATGACATGAGAGCATGTGCAACTGAAAAAAGCAAGAGAGGTTAGCCTCAAAGCAGAGAAAGAACTAGCGCAACGCACATGGTACGAACAAGGTCAAGACAAGTGTGGCTGAGAGACGCAAGGCGCCGACTATGTTGATCAGCTTACCGGACACTGAAGCGCTTCCTGAGGGATGAACTTGCCCTCAAGACGGGGAAGCTGGAAACCGGAGTGATCTTCGATAGCGTGGCGGTACTGGTTGCGCCAGGGGTCTTGGC